AAACATGACAGCACTGTCAACACTGATTTAAATCATTCAAGCTTTTTAAGTGGTCTTGTGCACAACATCAACATGTAGGCAGGATTTCTCAAGTACCGAGTGACACGAAAGATTGCTGTAATGGCTGCTGAAAAATGTACAGCGGCTCGGCCAAGGGACAAATTCTATTTTAATATATATTAAAATACAAAATTAATATTTCCCTTTTTTAATCTTATTTCTTATTTTTGATCAATCAATAAATATTTGCTGAACTCAAAACACTGAAATATAAATATTCCTGCTATTTAAATTGACACCAGCAGCATACCTTCCAGCTGCCGTAGAGTTTGGTCTATGACCTGTAGGAATTTATGTGTGCTGTGGAGAAGATCATCCCGGACTTCAAAAGACCCACGGGACTCTACAGGCTGCTGCTTTTCACCTTCTGTTGTCTTGCTTATGTCATTGTCTTCAGAGCCAGCAACACCCTGATAGCCACCATTAGTGAGTCTCTGCTGGTTCGCCGAAAGACGAGGGATATACACCTGTGAACAAAGTGTAAGTTGATTCATAAAAAATATATACTTTCAAAGCATAACTACTTGAAACACATTTTTATGAAGATGAGAATCACGCACATGGTTGAGAAGCCCACTAAGCATCTTCAAGGGGTGGTCATTCATCATGCCAAACTCAATAAGTCTGGGCATCAAATGATTAGCCTCGTTTATGTCCACTGGTTCAGTGATGGTTTCTGTATAAGATAAGCACCAGACCAGACAGTTACAGATAGTACAATACTATAAGAGACACATTTTGGAAATGCCTTATATACCTTTAGTGTTCCTCAGGAAGTAAAGGACATTGTATTTCTCAAACCTCTCTGGTATAATGTTCACTTCCACATGAAGCTCGACGTGATACACAACCTGGATCTCAAACTTGAGAAAGGAACAATAAAACCAAAATTTGTCAGAGAATCATCATTAACACCCTACAATAAAGTCTTGTTTGTTAACATCAGTTAACCCTTTATAGGGCACTCATTGAAATAGTCATTGGAAAACCCCTGGAGTGTTACTAGGGGTTATTAAAAGCATTTTAAAGGTTTATAATTAAAAAAAGGTTCCTCTCCCAGGATTAATGTATTCAAATTACCTATGAACAGCATGTAGTAACTTGTTTATGTTACCTAATCAATAGAAATTAATTATTAATTAATAGCAGCTTGTGGTTAACATGGATGCACACAGAAGAACAGGTTACTGGATTAACTTCTTTAGTGATAATGGCACAAAATTCCAATGAACCAATTAGACTTTAGGAAAATGTTTACAGTTCTACTCTTCTTTTACACCATTCTTATTCATCTAAAATTCGCTCCGATTTTAGCAAAAGATGCTGATCGGGCTGATTTAATTGACAAAATCATGTTGACTGTTAGTTGAAATTGTAAAAACTGATGTTAACAAGTACGACTTGATTTTGTAGTAGTAAATGTAGAAATGATCTGATTTCATACAAATATAGATTAATACTAAATAATCTGATTAAACATACATAATACTTTAAGACTGCATTTCATTTATAATCTTAATTATCAATTAACTGTAATGGTGATTTACATTGCGAAGTGGTTTATCCCCATTCTCTGTAGTCTCTGACAGGCCTTCAACTGCAAGATTCTGACTTTGAGAGTCTTCTGGGTTTGATGACTCCTGGCTTTTTCTTTTTTGGCCTTTTCTTTTCTCTTTAGCCATGTGTGGTAAATGGAAAAATAAATGAGGAACTTGTACTGTATATTCAGAAAAGTTACAATATTGATATGAATCATTGCTGAAGCAAACTCACTGTCAGCAGGGGTTTTCTCTCTGTCTGAGAGGAGCGTCCTTTCAGAGGAAGCAGATGGACTTCTTTCTGAGTCATTCTCCTCACCTTCTACTGGATCTTGGGGTATGTGGAATGGCTTGGTGCTGTTTGCTATTGAACATAAAATACTCTTTTTTAAGACATCTTATAACTTAAGATATTATAGTATACACTCTCCGGCCACTTTATTAGGTACACCTGTCCAACTGCTTGTTAACGCAAATTTCTAATCAGCCAATCTCATGGCAGCAACTCTATGCATTTAGGCATGTAGACATAGTCAAGACTCAGTAGTTGCTGCAGTTCAAACAGAGCATCAGAATGGAGAAGAAAGGTTATTTAAGTGACTTTGAATGTGGCATGGTTGTTGGTGCCAGGCAGGCTGGTCTGAGTATTTCAGAAACTCCTGATCTGCTGGAATTCACACACGACCCTCTCTAGTGTTTACAGAGAATGGTCTGAAAAAGAGAAAATATCCAGTGTTCTGTGGGTGCAAATGCCTTGTTGACGGTCACTCAAATAACCACTCGTTACAACCGAGGTATGCAGAAGAGCATCTCTGAACGCACGACACGTGGAACGAACCTTAAGGCGGATAGGCTACAGCAGCCAAAGACCACTCCGGGTGCCACTCCTGTCAGCTAAGAACAGGAATCTGAGGCAACAATTTGCATTGGCTCACCAAAATTGGACAATAGAAGATTGTTTCTGCTGCAACATTTAAATGGTAGGGTCAGAATTTGGCATCAACAACATGAAAGCATGGATCCATCCTGCCTTGTTTCAACGGTTCAGGCTGGTGGTGGTGTAATGGTGTGGGGGTCATTTTCTTGGCACACTCTGGGCCCATTATTACAAATTAAGCATCGTGTCAATGCCACAGCCTACCTGAGTATTGTTGCAGACCATGTCCATCTCTGTATGACCACAGTGTACCAATCTTCTGATGGCTACTTCCAGCAGGATAACGCTCCATGTCATAAAGCATGAATCATGTCAGACTGGTTTCTTGAACATGACAATGAATACACTGTTCTCAAATGGCCTCCACAGCCAATAGAACTCAATCCAATTGAGCACCTTTGGGGTGTGGTGGAACGGGAGATTCACATCATAGATGTTCAGCCGACAAATCTGCAGCAACTGCGTGATACTATCATGTCAATATGGACCAAAATATCTGAGGAATATTTCCAGTACCTTGTTGAATCGATGCCACGAAAGATTAAGGCAGTTTTGAAGGCAAAAGGAGATCCAACCCGTACTAGCAAGGTGTACCTAAAAAGTAACTTAGCCAGTGAGTGTAGTTCATTCACTTAATTTTAAGACTATGCAATGGGTTTAATGTTACTCACTTTTTTCCCAAGTAAAGTCAACTAATCAGCTTTTACAGTACCTTGTTGAATCTATGCCATAAAGGATTATGGCATGTAGTAATGCTAATAAAGTGACCGGTGGTGAGTGTATTATCTCAGTGAATGAGAAATTGAGTAACGTTTCTAAACGTCACACTCCACGTCCACGTCCACGTGCAGAAACTATTCGTTAACTAATGTAACGTTACTAAGTAGTTAATGTTAAGAGGGAAGTTACAATTGCGTTAAAATGAAAACGTAACGTTACCTGCAGGAATTTCAACTTCAATCTCCTCTTCTCGTACATTCTTGAAGAAAAAAAGTGTTAAAGCCACCTCTTCCTCCGTGACCACGTTTAAAAAGTGTTTGATTTTCTGCTCTTCCTCTCCATCACCGCGGCTGAGCAACTCGTCAAAGCAGCCTGAATCAGGCAAATCATACATCACACATACTGCATTTTTAATCCACTCCACTCGAGAGTCGTCGTGAGCCATGCTCACTGTTTTCTGGAGGAATAACTATATGGTAACGTTTGTAGTTTGCACAAAAAATATATATATTTAGACCATCATTTCTGAAACTGACACCGCGCACTGGTTTTAGTTGACGTTGCTATAACAACAGCGGGTCACATGCGTGCACTGTCGTATGGGGTTGCCAGATCACCAGCACAAATCATACGATCCATGACTCGCAAAGAAAAGATTGAAACGTTTAGTACAAAAGTTTTATAAATGTGTTTTTGAATGTTATGCTCTGCTAAACTCATGATTATTAAAAAAAAAAAAAAACGGTTTCCCACTCTTAGCCATGTATTCCTTCCCTGACTTTTTCCTTCACTGTAAGGAAAACAAAATGGTGCTGTGCTTATTTGCACAAAAATAATAAAATTGCAATACTCGGACTGCTATGCCATCATAAATTGTGAAAATTATAGATAGAAGAAGGCTTTAAGACAAAATGTAATTTTTAATTCCTAAAGTGGCCATATTCTGACTGAAGAGAGTTGAATGAGCTGGCCAGTTTTTATTTGCCCATAGGTTAGTTTTTATTTTAAAACAACTCTTACCAGATGATAAGTTTGTGTTTATATATTTTTATATATATTTCTTTATTCTTTTGTTTTAAATGCTAATCTCATAAATAATATTTATAAAACTGGAAGTTGCGGTTTAAATCCAAATTTTTAAATAAATTTGACAAAATTGTAGAAAATATGTTTGTTGCATAAAAAAAGTGTGGTTATAATCACTGTCCGATAAGCTGATCAAGCAAAGATTAGTTCTTAAAATCACTAAAATGCACAACTGAATAGAAAATGAGGCGAATAACTGCAAAAAAAGATCCACTTAAATGCTGTTCATACATTAGGTGTCCTCAAACATTGCACCAGGTATATACAAATTACAAGATGTTTTCACGCCTGACTAGGAGGTGGTTTTTGTCAAATCAAATTTGTACACAGTGAGATGATTTTGAGTTGTCAGTGTTTTAGTTTATATGTGATTATGCCTGAATGTTTTAAACTGACTTTTTAATTGGATTTTATTGTTTTAATTTTAACCTGTCCAGGGACTGCAGGTGGAAATTAGCAAACCTGCTACAACCTGGCACAATGCATCTTTCCTCTTTGAGGTTAATGTAATCTTTGTGCATTACCCCTGTTAAATAAATAAATTCATTCTTTAAAGCCCCAAAAAGGAGCCTTCCCACATGTACAAGCAAGACACTGTTCTGATTATTGAAATGTGTTTTTTTACGCTAGAAAGAATGAGAGTAAAGCCAAACGTGACAAAGTATTTACAATGGACGTTTATTTATATGTACACATGCAAATAATATAGTGCTGTTTGTAGCAGCAAATTATTAATCATATAAACATATACATTTTATATTGATAATGGACAAAGATAATCAAATCTTCAACAGTGACAAAACTCTTACACACTCCCCTAACAAATCTGAATACAGGAGGAAACCTCCTATGGTTGTTATAGCGCTGAAAATCAAAATATTAAGAATTATTCACTTCTTAATCTATATAGAAGTTTTAGCACAAAAATAACACAAATCAAAGAATACACATGCCAACCAAATCCTGAATTACCCCAAAAAGTGCACATTTTGTATCTCTCCAAAGTCAAAAATACATGCATTAAAAATACATGCAATTATTCTCATCAGCTCATCAGTAAGAGTCCAAGATGTCAAACGGGTATGTCAGATACATGGGTTTGTTCTGTAACTAACAAGTGAAAAATCCACACACTTAACAAAACCTGACACCATTACACACATTTTTTCTGCTGACAAACAGAATCAAGAAATTTGAAGATCACTGACAGTAAAACATGTTTTTCCAGGTACACTTTGATCTACATATGGCACCAATTTATCTAATGTATGGTTAAATTATGCTTAGTCCAAGAAGAATCTGTGTAAAATGTTACCATTATTGCCACATAATGAGTATGTGTATATGTTGCCACTGAAAATGAAAAAGCGGAAATGATTATGACACCATGGTACCGTTTGTATGACACCCACCACAAATAGCATCACAGATTTAGCTTGCACTGTATCACAATGAGTGATCTATGATACTTTAGTACAAAAGAACCTGAAGGATTTTCAGGACGTTTATTTTCTTTAGAGTTTAAAAAAATGTGTTGACTCATTATCTTGTTTGCTAGCTTCTAGTAATTTCATGGGGCCTTTGTTGTTGTTGTCGTGGATGCGTCTTTACCATTGTCATCATTGCTAAAGCTCAATGCCACAGCCAAGATTATGCCAAGAAGCACTGCAGCTGCAACTGCTGCTATAACCACTTTATACTTGATATTTTCCCAGCGCTTCTTCTGTTTCACCTTTGTGGCGGTCTTTGAGAATGCTTTGCCCTGAAAAGTAATAACAAAACAAAGTTGTTTTTTTTTATTTTACATTTTATATTTAACAAGATAAAACTGTCCCCAACATTTTTTTTTAAATAAACAAATCACCATTGAGTCTTCTCATCAAGCAAATAAGAGAAAAGCCATGCGAGGCTTTGAAATGGACTTGATACTCATTTTGTTTTCCTAAATGTGATTATAGTCTTTGTTTGGAGTAGTCATTGACACCAACCACACAGTGGGAATCATAAATCAAACTGTGCTCATATATTTGGCCAAAGGAGAGCTGGTTGTGACTTGGCCTGGCTTCTCCTAGTTTTTTTTTTTTTTTTTTTTTGCTATTGTCATTTTTATCTTTGGCTTTCTCATTCATTAAACGCAAGAATACAAGACAAATAGTATTTACTATTATTACTTATTTAACTGCACTGACACTGTTGGCTAATTCAATTCGGTTCAAGTTTATTTGTTCAGTGTTTTCCCAATAATTACTGTCCAAAATTAGAATCAAAACAAGAAAAAAAAAAAACCTTAAGGTTGGACAGAACAGATAGTTAACCTGGAGTTATACAATTTTGTTGTCATTGAGTCCTTGGAACACGGAATGTTTATAAGAAAATGCCTGAGGCACAAAGAGAGCAACAAGTGTGTTTCCTGCAGGATATGAGCAACATTTTAAATTTAGTTGGATTATGATACTAAGATTCCTTACTTGACAGATCGTGTTTAGTTGCTAGGTTTGGTTCTGATGTTATTGCTTTGTTATTTTAAAAGCTGCTGTCTTGTACACCAAACAAACAGACCAAGATCACAAAAAATGAGTCCCTGTCCACTTTCAAACAAAATCTGGTGCAGAGTGACAGAAGACTACAATGTAGTCCAAAAATAAAAAATGAATAAATAAATTATATACAGTATATATCATATCATTTGGGAAATATATATATATATATATATATATATATATATATATATATATTTTTTTTTTTTTTTTTTTTTTTTCTTCTGGAGAAAGTCTTATTTGATTTATTTCAGCTAGAATAAAAGCAGTTTCTAATTTTTTAAATACCATTTAAGGGACAAAATTGTTAGCCCATTTAAGCTTAATTTGTTTTCGATAGCTTACAGAACAAATTATCATTAAGCAATAACTTGCCTGATTACCCTAACCTGCTTAGTTAACCTAATTAACCTAGGGAAGCCTTTAAATGTCACTTTAAGCTGTATAGAAGTGTCTTGAAAAATATCTGGTAAAATATTATTTACTGTCATCATGACAAAGATAAAATAAATCAGTTATTTTTCACTTATCTGTTTATGTTTAGAAATGTATTGAAAAGATCTTCTCTTCATAGAACAGAAATTGGGGAAAACAATAAAAAGGGCTAATAATTCTGAGGAGCTAATTTCAACATATACATACATATATATATATATATATATATATATATATATATATATATAGTAGATGATCAGGTTAGAATTCTCAAGCAAACCTGTTTTTTTTTTTTCTCATCAGTCACACTGTTTTGGATGTCATGAAGCCTAACAAAATAACCAAGAAAATCAAACTACAGTTGTGATCTTTGAACTTGAACCGTTATTGAACCAAACTGGATCAATACCGAACTAAATAAAAGCCTCATGGTCTTCTCCAAAGCTGTGTAACTGCTGATAATTAACTTGTTTGTTTGTGCATTTATTTTTCCACTCCAATGGAATTTTGAGTATGCTCGCATGAGACAAAAAAATGAAAATCAATGTGAACTTGTTGCCTAACCACAATGCATGTCTTGTGCAAACAGCCTGCCATACTATTACACAAGTTTTTGTTCATCTCAAAACAAAGGGAAATAGCTTTCTAAAATTAACAAAGTAAACTAAACTCAGGATGCAAATTGAACACTTTTTTTTTCCCGTACACTCCACCTAGACACTATTAATAGACTCAAACTCGATAGGTCCTTGCTCTGCCTAGAAAACACTTGAAATTCCGGAAATCCAGTTTATAGTTTTCCAAGTCCTCAGAGAGCTGTATATCATGTTCACAGGAACACAGAATAAGTTAATGGGACAGCTCGTTTATGTGCTTAAATAGTTGGTGTTACAAAAGTTCTACCTTTACAAGTAGGTCGTCAGCCCTGGTCTCCAGTTCCTTGAGTTTTCCTGATCGCTCTTCAGCCTTGTTTAGGTTATCCAGCATGATACCTTTAACTTCCTCCACATCTTTTTGAGCCTCGCTGAGGCGGCTGTTCCCATTCTGCTGAGAACAGATGAAATGGCTCATTGGAAAAGACAAAAGCACTAGCTAATAACAAAACATACATTGCCCTTAGTTCATACATATTTTTAAACAAAATATTGTTTTTCGTAAAGGAGTAGATGTCATTCAGTGTCCCACTAGATGAGTGGTTCTCAACCAGTCAACCAGGGCCTAAAAGCATCTCAAGATGATAAAAAATAATAATAATAAATATTCAAGTTATTTATTTACTTAATTACTTTAATTTATAACCTAAACTACTTTTTCTTCAGACAATCTTGACTAATAGACCCTTTTCACATTTTTGGGTTTCTCAGTAACGGAAGTCATCATAGCTGGGTAAACTATAGAATACAACAAATAATTTTTTACAGTCTTATTTGCTCAAATAATAAAAGAAAACTCCAGGATAGTGTTTTCAAGACTTTCAGAAAAAGAAAAAAAAAAAAGTAGTGCGAGACTAATTATGTCAAATTTACTCTCAGCCTCATATACGCTGCCTTAGAAACACCTAGCATAAGCAGTAATTAGCTTTTTGTAATTTGACGCAAAGATGATACAATACATTCATAAATGCATATAAAAAAATATTAAATAATACCGTTAAACCGTCATCAGTTTTGTGAAAAAGGTCCATCAATTTATTCAAGATTTAAATATAGACCTAGAAATATACTGTATATCAGTTTGTGTTTGTGTCCAAAAAAAAAGGTCAGCAGCTGGATTTAACTAGGCAAGTATGTAAGAAACTCCCACTGGATAATGACTGCATGGATGATTATGTTTCAGTTGGAAACAAGATATTTAACCCTAACTGATGCAGAGAGTGTCTTCTTATTGCTTGTAGACACATCCTGTGCTCATGGAAAGATGCTCATTTGTTTCTGAAGGGTCAAATAATTATCATGCATCAAACAAAGGATACGTCGAAGGAAATTACATAATATTAATAAAAATGGGAGCGATATTGGGGAACCAACATCTTTGAGGAAAAAAATGTGGTCGAAAAAAATCCTGAATGATCGATATGGGAAATCACATAAATATCTGCTGAAATCAAATTGAGAAAAAAAAAATATTATCATGCATCAAGCAAAGAAAACATAGGAGATTACAACATATTATTAAAACTGAGAAGGATAATGGGGAACCAACATCTTTGAGAAAGAAATGTGGTCAAAAATAACCTCAGATGATCAAGATGAGGAATTACTTAAATATCTGCTGAAATCAAATTGAGAAAAAAAAAATATTATCATGCATCAAGCAAAGAAAACATCGAAGGGGATAACAACAACATATTATTAAAACCGGAAAAAATAATAGGGAATCAACATCTTTGAGAAAGAAATGTGGTCAAAAAAACCCTCGATGATCGAGATGAGAGAAATAACTTAAATATCGGCTGAAAATAAATTAAGAAAATAATAAAACAAGAGTAGTATTAACTCACAGCTGTTTAACAGTGAACATAAGCCAACTGCACAGCATTGCCAACTGCACAATGTGAAAGGGGCTTAAGGGATTGGGACTAAACAGCTGTGTATCCATCAGACAAGCACTTATCAGTGAGGCTAATAAGAAAAAAAACACACACAAATTCAGTTTGCTAGGGAGCATAACGAATTGTACCCTGGAGAAATGGAAGATGTACATGTGGCGTGATGACTCCAGATTTACTCTGTTTCAGAGTGCACGAGGAGAAGGAGAGAGTCGGATAAAATGATGCACTCATCATGCATTGTGCCTACCATACAAGCTTGGGATCTTGGTCAGCTCTAAGTTCAGCAATGTTATGTGCCCAAGGAATGAGGTCAGCTGACTACCTGAATTTATTGAATGACCAGAGAATTCGATCAATGGATTTTTGTATTCCCTGATGGCACAAGCATATTCCAAGATGACAATGGCAGAATTCATTGAGCTCAGATTGTAAAAGAATGCTTCAGGGAGAATGAGGCATCACATAGATTGACCACCACAGAGTCCAGATCTTAACCCTGTTGAGAATGAGATGTGCTGAAAAAGACTTTGCACGGTCATTTGTCTCCCTTATCATCTATATAAGATCTTGGCAAAACATTCACGCAACTTTGGATGGGAATTAATGTTATGATATTGCAGAAGCATAATGAATGCCATGGCAAATGAATGCCGTAATCAAAGCTAATGGAAGCAATAAAATTAAAATAAATAAAATAAGGTGTGTGTGACTTTTTTTGGACAGTAAGTGTGTGTGTATATGTAAAGTGTGTTTTTTGTAGAAAGTATATTTACTTTAGTTGGATAACTGCAGAGAAGGTGTTTCTCTGTTATTTTTGTTTTAGCCTAAACTAAATAAATAAAATTACATTTATTTAAAAGACACTGATACTGTAAAAGACAAAAAATGACCAAATAAAAATCAAACTATTAATAAAAAATAAAAGAGCTACTGAATATTACACCAAGCTCCATCATATTTTGTCAGGTGGAAATAGTGAGAAAAATATGTATGTATATCTTCAAACTTAATCCAGTAAATCAGGAAAAACTGGAAATGTTTTGAAGTTTTTACTGTATATATTGCTGTAAAACATCTGGTCGATTGGGGGTCAAAAAGGTAAAGAAGAACCACAGTACAACATATTTAATGTGTGAGAAATGCAACCAATAAAGCATTATAAACAAAAAGTAGTGATGAAATCTTCCTGGACGCCTCCCATTATAACAGCCTTAAAAATTGTGTTTACAACAAGCATAAGGAATGGAATTCTGGAAGAGTGCCATGTCGCTTACAGCTTAACAAGGAACAGAGAGAGAGACAGAGAAATCTCTAAAGGCTATTGCATCGAAACCCACAATGATGCCTTTGTGAAAACAGCATGGCTGAGCGCCATGAAATAGGACTGTGACCTCCCTGACATTAGTAGTCTCTACAGCAGTAGACATGTCATCTGTATATCAGCTGAGTCGGACTGTTAATTCCTCTCTTTGTGCTCAGAAGGATGTAAGTGACTTTAGGTCAAGGTTTGGTTGACGGGAAACTGTCAGACAAAGATCAGTGAAATTATTCATTTTACAGGAAACGCCACTTATTATTCATACCATCTCACATAATAGCCACAGACAATGGAACAGTGGTTCTCAACTGGTGTGTCACAGCCTGAAATGGCTCATAGATCGAGAGGGTGCTCGCTGCAGAGCCATTTGAGGAGAGCTGAGCTCCAGCGAGGGGGAGCATGAGCTGTCGCTCCTCCTCCTGTAAGCTGTTTTAATGCGTTCACAAACCCCACCCCTAACCCTACCCCCAGTGACATCACTCGTAGAAGAAGTGCAAAAAAGGTGGAGCTCAAGCTTAAGCTCCCCCTCGCTGGAGCTCAGCTCTCCTCAAATGGCTCTGCAGCGAGCACCACTTGGATAGATCTGGTCTAATAGGACAATAGGGGGAAACTAAAAAACATGCTAAAAGGAAATGACAATTTAAATAGCACATTAAATTGCAACTAGCCGTATAATTGGGTACAAGATTAAGTCTAAGAATGTTTGTTCATGATGTTGTCTTCTTTCTTCTTTTGAGTGATATATTTTAAGTGAATATAATGATGGGTTATACAGCCACATGTTAATTTTTATTATATTTCTGTAACCCTTTACAACAAGTTTGAATTAGTTAATGTTAGTTAATGTATTTACTATTATGAACAAACAATGAACAGTACATTGCAGTAGTTGTTCACGTTAGTTAACGTTAGTTAATGAAAATACAGTTCTTTGTTAGCTTATGTTAACTAATGGTGCATTACCTAATGCTAAAAAGCATGAATTTGGATTTACTTGATAAAGTTTCCCTGCTGAAAAATCCAGCTTAAACCAGCCTAGGCTGGTTTAAGCTGGATTTTTCAGCAGGGTTTAGTAAATTTTGAACTATGAATAATAAATGATGTACATGTTTTGTTCATTGTCAGTTTAAATCAATAAATACATCAACTAATATTAATTAATGAAAACTTATTGCAAAATGTGACCCATTTTTCTTTACATGTGTACAATGAATGAATAGAGTTAAAAGAATGAGGATTTTGTAACATGAACATGAATTACATTGTATGGAAAACTGAATTATATATATATTTTAAGCAAAATGTATTTTATTTGGCTTATTTTGTAAACTACTGACAACGTTTCTATTTTATTTTAAAATGTAATTTAGAGGTATTTGTGTTTAATACACCAAAAAAATATTACATTTTCAGACATGTGTAGAGTTTGAGTTTTTCATCACTCTGCATATGAACCAGAACTGCAGGATACACATCTCTTTTTACATCCTTTCTTTGCCTCCTTCCTTTCCTTCCTTCCTCTCTAGTTTTGACTGCTATAATGAATATGGAATTTCCTTGAGACAAGGCAAAAAATCCCCTCTCTTGTGTTTCAACAAACACCTGAAATAAACCAACAACAAAGGCTAAAGACCTTTTGAATGACTTTTAAATGACTTTGAAAAGAAAAGGGCAGTTTAAAATGCAGACACAAACGATAAGAACGATACTAACAACTTACTATCACATATCTCTAACAAAGCGAATTGAAAGCTAACTTACTATAGCGTGTCGAAACAAAAATCTAAATAGATTTCACTTTCATAATGATCGTTAAGCATGGCAGAACCGCACTTGTTTGTAACAACGTCAAACCAACTTTATGCGGCGTTTGCCTTCACTTTTTATTAGCTTCTTATCTAACCGTTTTTGTGTTATAGATCCAGAAAACTTCCCTCATATACAGGTTTGAGCTAAACATTTTGTTTCTAAAACGTTTGCCCTCAATGGTCTTGATTTATAAAGCTAACCTCAAAATATCACCAGCAAAACGAAACAAACTTTAAAGTTTTAAAACAAAACAACTTACCATTGTATCAATCTGTGGGTTAAATGCGCCAGAAACTGTCACCGAATATACTGCATCGGAAAGAGCACTAGCAGCTGATAAGAGAAAACAGTACAAGCTCGATATCTTCAAACTTCATGCGCAAAAAAAAAGCTCCTCCAGAGTTTTATTCTTCTGCGCTGGCGCTGTCACGAGGCGCCTCCCATATCCCCAATTACCAAATCCAACAGCAGGTGGCACTGTCTGAGAAAACGATAGGTCTGAGCGTGGTCTCCGGGCATAGATATATACATTAGATGTCGCTTACCCTGTTGTTGTCTATTGGAAGGAATGCGTCAATAGAGCTGCCATATTGAAACAGGGTAGCGCTCCTTTGAAATGAATGCGGGCCCAAGGTACAGTGGAGGACTGTGGCCACCCAAAGCCAGAGACATACACATATGCACATATATCTATGATCGGGAGTTTTCCTGGATGTTAGTTTGTAATTTTTTTTTCTAATTACGAAAATTATAATTTTACATCACTTTTGTACATTGATGGATCAGTGATTGCACTGGCATTCCTGACAAAAAGCTTGTGTTTGTGTGTACAGAAATGTACTATCCACCCTGCCTGAAACACACCTTCTCTCCTGCTTTCACTTCTCATACTGACGGAGGGAGCGATTCGTTTGTGAATGAATCTCCGTTATGAACGACTGGTTCACTAGCCGACAATAATACAAGTTTCTGGCAGCGCAGCATCTCATTGTCATATTTCTTATTCATTGTTTGCTTATTTTATCCAACAGAACTAGCTGAAGCCTAGTCTTTAGTGGGAGTTGGTGCTAATTTGCCTTATGGTGAATGCAGTAAGATTACTTTAGCACAAAAAGATTATAAAAAAAAAAAAACTAAAAAAAAAAAAACTCAATCTTACCTATGATATGTTCTGCCTTGTGCTTAGTTTTCTTTGTTTGGTCGTTACTACACCTAACGTAACCCTAACCCACACACACACACACACACACACACACACACACACACACACACACACACACACGCACGCACGCACGCACGCACGCACGCACGCACGCACACACACACACACTGGCATTTTGCTTGGACCTGGCTGGTAGGCAGACTTTACTTTGTATTTGTATCACTCGTTTGTGTTCTGACCACTTTTGCTTGGTTGTATACTAAATCAATACTTAGACTTTTAAAAATACAATTGTAACACATTGAGCCACTAAGCCTTTTTCAACATTTCAATATTTCAAACACTTCAAATATAGTCTGCGAAAAAATTCACCCCTCTCATGAAGGGTAATCATAGCTATATGCACCAAAGCCATCTTTTGTACCAGGGTGTAAACATGTTTTTATTTTATCAACTGTAAAAATGGCCAACTTAATGAAATTTGTTCTTGGCATGAAAATAAAGGGGGGGGGGGGGAATGGCCAATTTACCATTGCAGTCAGAAATCACCTGTACTTCCTGGAGCCAGCCCCCCAAGGTGAGTCGATGAATTGCAGTTTTAGTTACTTCCAAATATTGGCTTCCTGAGGGAGAGTGGGAAGATGCCGCTTGGTAAAAAGTGGCATTGGCAGGTTGCCAAAATTTAAGGGGTTTTGAAATGCTAATTTTATATGCAACTTATTAATTTATTGCAATGCATGGAACAAACCGCGCGAGACCACTCGCAAGAGGAGGTGAAGGCACCACAAAGCAGTTAAACTACAGCTGTTTATCAGGACACTTATCGATCATATTTTCCGCAATTGAGAGCAAGAACAAACATAAAAGCGTTGTCTGATTGACAAGTAGCAAAAGGGGATTTATTTATAACCAATTTCGATAATAAGACATACTCTAATAGGTAGTGTAATAATCTACACAACATTAAGTGCAATGTGTGGGTGAGAGGGGGGCAGTGTATTGATGTGATCTGGTGTTGTGATCTGGTGCCGTAAATTGTGCCGAGAAATTTTGATGTGATCGGATTTTTTTTAAATCAAAGGCCATAATTTATTAAAACGTAAGATAATTATTGTTTTGATGGCCAAAGCAAAGACAAGAAGTGAAACGCATTTAAAAATGCACTAGGTTTACAAATAAAATAATAATATTAACTGTAGTGTAGCCTTAAAGTAGGCTTTTTGGTGGTGTTTAAACAGACATTTGGGCTACATGAAAGACATAAAGCTGTTGTTGCTGTTTTTAACTAAACCCCACATTAAACAATTTACTTAATCTCATCGGTACTGTATTTAGAGTCCATCTTTATTCATTTATTTATTTATATCTTCGGTAAAGGGAAGAGTTCCATTCATGAAACTCACCTCAGTCACTCTCATTAGTGTCATAACTCACATTACTGAGGTAAATTATTAAATATATGTGTTATAATAAAGTTTAAACGCAGGCCTGTAGCCAGCCTGGTGATGGGGGTAGTGGGGTTCTGGAACTTTTTGCTTAAATACTGAATTTAACGTTAAGTGACATTTAAAGCACCATTTTTAGCTGAATTAGCTTGTTGGATGGTCACCACACTTTTTGATGTACCAAATATATTTAGTAAATATTTAGAATAAAGAAATATGACATTTACTTTTAAAATACAAATTTATTACATCATATATGATTAGAAAAAAAAATACATTCAAAACTGTAGCCTATTGTAATTTATTAGACAAATAACACTGGCCAGCACATTCGACTTTCCTTGCTTTTTTATATATGGGCAATTCCATGCAAATTAGCTAGTACCTTGTTAAATGTTTGCCACAAATAAGAACTAAAACAGCTCTGAAGCAGGGTTTTTACTGATATCCAAATGTTAAATTTAAGACCTTTTTAAAACCATGAAGTATTAAATTTAAGACCTATATCACAATAACAAAAACAAAGAGAAAATGCAAAAATCACAAAATTAGTGGCAAAATAAATGTATTCAAATTGAACAGTACTAAAGACAGGTTAGATGCATCATTGAACTACAGGAAAAAAACAAACAAACATCTTAAGGCTGACTTATACTTTTGCTTGGTGCCGCATCACGTAGCTTCGCTGACTGCGCCCACCTCGGACGAGGCTCTTTAAAATGACAGGGGCAGTTAAAAGTCAAGACGGATAAACAGAGAAGTAGGAAGTTTCCAGAACTGTCATATCATTAATATCGCACAAGATTTTTTAACTAATTATTCATATTATTTTAATAAATTATTTTATTGATTAGAAAGATTTTTATAACCATTCAATATTTTTGTAAATCAAACTTTGATGCATCACTTGCTTTTGTTCATATCTCGGACAGTTCTACCTATTAAAGATAAACATTAATGGTTGCTCCACAATAATATTTTTATTGTGGAAAGAATAAAAACAAAACAAAAAAAGTACTTACTAAAAATACTGACTTTTTATTTTATTTTGTCCTCTCTACAGTTCACACATTACTGGCTGGTTAGTTTCTGTCCTCTACTGATATGCTAAAAATGCAATAATGGTTCAACATTCCTTACGATTATCATCAATAAAGCCTAGAAAAACAGGGCATTAGTGTATTGTATATTTTTTCCAGTTATCAGAGAAATAATTTGTTCCTCAATAATAGTTTTGTAACTATTACATTTTTAAAACCTATAAATGGTGGAAAAACATGTTTTGTAATTGTGTACCTGGGTCATTTTTGCCATGACCTCTTTTTGTTTTAACAAACATATCCCTCAGGTTTTTCCAAACTTAACAAAAACTTTCCACCTTTCCCACTGCTTTTGCAATCACTAGCTAATAATTATTGTTGATCTAGTTTTTAGATCATAAAGGTGTATGTACAGTCGTACCTGTTTCAGACAAAATCTTTTCAAAGTGATTCATATTCAACTGAAATTAAGTGTGGCACCACGCACAGTTTGCTCAAGTTTAAAAAAATTTAGTGCGCTCCGCTAGCTGAAATCATGAAATATTTAAGACCTAGAACAACAAATTTAAGACTTTTTAAGGCCTAAAATTTCGATTTTTTAATTTTAGACTTAAGACCTCGCGGACATCCTGATAGAGAATGATCTTAAAGTGGTGCTATCAAAAACTAAACAAGAATAGACTTGTGCTGTAAACGATGTGCCAACCAGTCTCATTAGATGAGGTTCATATTAAATAGAATAAATTACTATAAAAAACTGTATAGATTACACTTTGTGTTGTGAATTTGATCATTTCTATTGGCATATTGGTGTGTGTGTGTGTGTGTGGGCACCCTTGCATTTAACATTTATGTTTCTAACCACCTCTGAAAAATAGTGGGGGTCGTGAGTCATTGGCATTATTTTAGTGGCGATGGGCTGAAAAAATTGGGAACCCCTGAGCTAGTGTGCTCCATAGAGTGACAATTTACATTTATAAGATTTAAAACCGATAGAAACATTTAACGCTAGCAGTTTGTTACCGAAATCCACTGAAATTACTTAACGACTTTTTTTTCACATCAACTTATACTGGTTTCTCATCAAATCTTGACCAATCACATATTCTCTAGCATTACATGTCCCACCCCCTTTTAAATCACCTCACATTTGATGCACTTGAGCAGAAAATCATTCACAAAGCGCATGATGACTACTTAAAATGTTTTTTATGTTTACATATGTGAGACAGTGATATGGTTTTGCCTAATTATTTGAAATATAACCTGCATCTTCAAAAGTGTGTGATGGAAACTGTATAATGTTATAAAACAGAAAAGACATTATAAATAAGACATTTCTCATTTTTTATTTTAATCAATATAAAACTTTGATAAATGTTTCAAACTATGCGAAAACGAAGAAGCAGTATGCCAGACCCAACAATGCTGAAGGCCACTGAAAAACACCGTTGTGCCACACAGCGCCATGCTTTTTACAATTCTAAATATAGGTTTCTATCAGGGTACACACATCGGCGCACCAAGTCAACTGCGCCCAGCCACGACTCAGGACACAGTTCATATTTCTGCCGCACCACAGAGTGCCATCTGATTAGTTTCCTCTTAAATACCATGCGAATGTGCGCGTCTGGTGTTTGATACTATCAACTGTCATGTGCACGCCGTGTAGCGGTGCTGAGCGGTTCATCCGCTGTGTGCCAACCTTAAGGCTGCAGGCGCCTCTGATCTGTGGGATATCTGTAAAAACGCAAACAGAGCTAATGTTATAGAAGTAGTGTTGCCTAAATGGCTATTATATGTCTAATAAAATTAAAACCAAAATACAACTCATTGCATTTCTCGTTTAATAAAAACATACGCAAACGAAATAATCAAAAGGTGGCTCGTTTGTAATTAGTTTTAATATTAATAAAAAACATACTTAGACTATTTAAGCTTAACGGCTATACGCTGCTAATAGGCCATTAATAAATATTATTTTACTTTGTACTGGATTATAATGTATATTTTAAAATAAAAACTAAATATAGCATGTCTCACTGTCATTTAAAACAAGTAATTCATATCAGAACTGTGGATCTGCAGTGTGTAAACTGTAAACAGGGGCTGTTGGTCAATAGCATACAGCACATAATTGAACTAATATCTCAGAGGGAGATTAAAAAAAATTTGAGAGATTTAAAAAATAAAAGACACTTTAAAATTGGAACAACACCTGCCGCTCGGTACATTGGTAGCGCCTTTAAGCAGCATGTATCAATCAACTGCTGCTGGTGAGCAAGAGTGCGTGTACGTGCACATGCGCAAAACAGATATAGAAATAACCAAAAGCAAGTTCATTTTGTAAATATTTCCTTAACGATACTTATAGAAAATTCATTTAATTTTACCCTTCGAATAGAATTTTTAGTTGCACCATCAAGAAATCTGAGCACTCTAGAGCCCTGCAATACTTTGTAATAAAAAAACGTTCTTAACTGTTTTTTTTTTTTTTCTAGAAAACCGTTTTTGGAATGTTTTGTTTAATAAAGAACGCAATAACAGAACAGAAAAAAATATCAATTCTGCTCAGAGTGAACCCAATGGATTTTTTTGTTTGTTTTGTTCTTAAGCCCTGGTTGCAAGATTGACAAAATCCCCACATTAACAGGCGAGAGTTTTTGTCCTGACCAACTTAAAATTACTATTTTAGAAACCGCTTCTATTTCTTACAGCTAAGACAATGATCACCTCAGGTACAGTGTACAGCTCATGTGCTTTATTCACTGTAAATGCTAATAATGTGAGCTTGAATGTCATTTTACGTGACAGCGCATGTAGAGGCATGATAATAGCTGAGCTCAACAGATTGTAAAGATAAGTTCCTTCTTCAGTCTAGCTGAGGAGCTTGATGGCCTCTCCAGCTGTGCATTGAGAAAATTTCCTTTCACTGCCCGGTAGTGGAAAGTGACATCTCCATCACAATCATCGCAGTCTGGTCCTGCTGTTCTTGAATTGGCCCGCCGGAGTGCTGATCTTGAACTCTGAGCCTCCATTTCTACAGACTGATGGCTCCAGCTGCACCCATCAGCAATGCCAACCCAAGACTGACACACAGAGAGCGGATGAAGGTTTTGTCCAGGTGGTTTAGAAACTGATGTTCTGTCTAAAAAAATAATAATAAAAAATGAAGTGATAACCGTGATAGTAATTGGTTAAAAAAAGTTTTTAAAAAGATGACCTCACTCTTTTAACTTTTAAAAAAAAACTTTAAATTTGAAGTTAATGGCAGAAAAAAAATGTTTAGAAAAAATATACCATAAAAGGAAACACCTTTTTGTGTAAGGCTATGGGCTTTACTTTGAAAGGTGCAATACGCAAGTTTGACATCCAATGGTTGAACTAGGTATTGCACTCTAGGATCAAAACACATTTTTACTTGGCTCCTCCTCTGACGACTCCACACAAGTGCAGGTTGCCAGAATGATGACACCAAAAGGAGTATGCCTGATTTTAGAGCTCATAGGCTGATTTAAGGCTGATTTAAATAAAGTTTTAACTAAAAGCTATGGCACGCGATAGAAGAAACCTTTTCCATATTAAAAGGAGTTTGTCCTAGCCAATATCTAAAATTTCTATTTTAGAAATGGCTTCTATTACTTGTGGCTGAACAACAGAAAATTGACAATGACCACCTCAGGTTCAGTTTAGTTGCTTTATTAAGTGATAAATGATAATAGTGTGAGTTAGAATGCCAAATTACATGACATTTATTAGGGGTGTCAAAATCACAGGAAAAGTTTGTTTCCTCAGGCCATCTACCTCATGAACATTTAAATATTCCCCTACTGTGCAATAAATGTGCAATACTTTCTCATGAGCACTTGTACTCAGCACCTTATATCAATATACAATGCAATACTTTCTCTATTCGCATTTGTACACAGCACCTTATAACCTGTATATTTATAACAAATCTGTACATACAATTCAACATCCAGATTTTTTTGACTAACTGCATCTGTTTAATGTTTATCATCTTTTTTTCCATTTTTATTTGTATTGTCACTTGTCACTTTATGTACACGCTTCTGTAGCCAAAACAAATTCCTTGTGTGTGAAGCACACTTGGGAATAAAAAAAAAAGTATCGTTTCTTTGGTGCATGCGGTGCAGACGTGGACAATTACGTTCAGTAATAATCATAACTGGTTATTATGTACTGACATCATTTATCTTATATGCGCTATGTCGCCATAGCTTACTATGGCAAAGGAAGGCAAGCGCGAGTATTTACAACGCTTCAACTACTTAACGCAGAAACTGTGCACATTTCACTGTGTCTGGGTTTGCTTGACAATCTTACACTGACACAGCAGAAGCCCCTATTTCACTGTGATTGAAAGAATGAAAGTAAACTTCATTTCTCTCTCACTGTGGCCTATTCGACCAGCTGGCGTGACTTTTCCTCTCCTTTTAGCTGTTACAGCGATACTTCTGGATACAGACACAAGCACGTGCCTGCAGAGTTTTCACCAGCATGTCTATTATGGATCAGCCATGATCGCCATTGCAGAATCAGTGTCACTCGTCTGAAAAGAGCGCAGGGCGCACGAGCCAAGACAGCCCTTTCTGTTGAGTGTGTGACCTAAGGGATGTAAGAGAACCTAATAAACAAGAATCAGAAAGAGAGCTGAATATTCATTTGTTTATATTATTTACTATAAATGCTTGTGTTGTTTAAAGGTACAGTTCATATATCTGACTGTTTGTATTAAAGGACAAAATTGAATTACAGTATATAAATATATTTTTTAATACAATTATAGTATATAAATATATATTTTAATACAAGAATTGCTGCTGTGAAGAAAATATAAAACTGTGTATAGAAATCATAGTCAAAGCTTTCAGATGAATCAGCGCACGTATGGCCCATGAAGAGCACATCAGGTTTCAGATTAATAAGCGCACGTACGGCCTCCTGACCAACCAGAGGACCCAGAGTCCAACTGACCACTCAGAGCACCCTGTCTGTGTCCTAACTTTGCACGATACGGTGCCGTGGCACGCAATAAAAGCTGTCTTTTCGGGTTTAAAAGGAGTTTTTGTGCTAACCATCACGATGACGTGACATTTCGATTTTAGACACCGTTTCTATTTCTGCGACACATGATTAGCTTGCATCGCACGTTTTGCGTGCACACGTGACATGTTTGTTTATTTCGTGACATTTCGATTTCAGACACCGTTTCTATTTCTGCAACACATGATAAGCTTGCGTCGCAAGTTTTGCATGCACACGTGAGAATTTTTTTCGTGACATTTCGATTTTAGACACCGTTTCTATTTCTGCGACACATGATTAGCTTGCGTCGCACGTTTTGCGTGCACACGTGACATTTTTGTTTAATTCGTGACATTTCGATTTTAGACACCATTACTATTTCTGCGACACATGATTAGCTTGCGTCGCATGTTTTGCGTGCACACGTGACATTTTTGTTTAATTCGTGAAATTTCGATTTTAGACCGCTTCTATTTCTGTGACACATGATTGTCTTGTGTCGCATGTTTTGCGTGTACACGTGACTATTTTTTTCGTGACATTTCGATTTTAGACACCGTTTCTATTTCTATAGAAATAGATATATAGAAATATACATATAGAAGATATGATATATAGAAATAGGTATATATATATATATTTTTTTTTTAATATGTTTGTGTTTTGTATGTAACTGACATTAGATTTGTTTAAATAGGTTTTGAAATTATGGCCTGTGTACACCAACATCTGTGGACCCTGCAGAACATGCAACCTGTGTCTTGCTGTTTTCCTTACCTCTGTCTTACTCATTGTCTTAACTAAATATTGTAACACTGTCGTTTCTGTTTTTTCTGTTTATGACATGTTGATGTACATTAAACTATCATTATATCATAAATGGTGTGCATTCATTATGATCATTATAATTTGATCCTACAATGATTGGACAATAAATTAACACATTTACATACACAATGAAAAACACACACTACAGAAAGTATGCTTTAAAATATTAATATAAACTAACTACTGTGTATATATATATATTAGGGATGTGCGGAGCAGCCAGTATTTGTATTTGTATTTGTATTTGTATTTGTTGAGGGGGGAAAAGTATTTGTATTTGTATTTGTATTAGAGTAAAATTCAAAATGGCGCAAAAATATATATTTTTTCTATTACACTTCTAATTTACGTTATAGTGAAAGTATTGTTTAATTATACCCATTATATATATTATAGATATGCACTATTGGCTGTTGTTTTTGAACATGTGACAAGAAATGTCATTGAAAAGAAAATAACATAGAAGCCATTATCTCATCCATGGTTAAACCAACAACTAATAAAATACCATTGTGAATATTATGAACCCCACCACCACCGTTCTTGTTGAAGGACACTGAATAGACAGAATAAAAACAAATAATACTTCAAAAAACTGTTCTTCTTCTGAAAGAACTTCTTTCCAATGCACAGAATTCCAAAAACTAATATTAACTAAATAAATCTAAATAAAACCCTGCCTGGGGAATCTGGCAGAACAAAAGTATTCTATATAATACTAAAAGATACAGCCCTGCTATTATCATCTGCCTGCCACAAAACAGACACAAAGTTTGTTTGTTTGTTTATTTAGAGATATCTGCAAATATTTTTCAATGGAAGTCAATGGAGGAATATGACTAGTCAGTCATAATATATTTGCA